AGTTTATGATATTTTTATGGGAGGGCTCAGAAGTGAATAGGACTAACGAAATGGAATCTGTTCCGACTTTGAACCAACTTATGATATTTTTATAGGAGGGCTTATATGGGGGCCTCCGCAAATATTCATATTATGCATTTGGCCCTGTCTCGGCAGATACCGTCTAGCTCTGCCACTACATACTAGTATATAATTATCAAAAAATAAGATATCAATAAGTTTAATTTTGAACAAAATATACAATAAAAAGTTTAATTTTTCAATTGTGAATTTGAAAGAATCCATAATAATCGTTAATCAGTCGGCTTAGTTTATCAATTCTGAGTTTCAATTTGCACTCACAATTACTTATTTGAACCTCGAAGGCAAAATCATACTATGAATTGAAGAAGATAGAAATCATATTTTGAATTGGAGAGATGACAAATCGATGGAGTTCCTGCCTCAGTCCCCTAGTAGGCGTGCACATGCTTGTGAGTATGTGAGCAGCGGAAGGGATGTCGGCACCCAAAACCCTGATTCGGGTAATCATTTATTTGGTACCGCTCAAGAAGCGGATCTGCCATTCTATCTTGGGGGATTCCATCCACAAACACAAAGTTTGTTGGCTTTGGAGCGTACGTTGTGGCCTGCTTAATTTTAGTTACAACTATAGTGAAGTATTGGCGAATTATAGGATGGTCCATGGACCATCACCGTCAGTGCATCACTTGGATTGTCAACCCTGTTTTACAAGCCATGTTTCGCTGATGGATAGTTACATTCTTGAAGTTATTGATTGCAGATGTTTTCTAATAGTTTTGTCAAATGTACTGTGTCAATATATGAGATATGATGGTGATTGCCCGGATAAACTTCTCAACCCACCGATCCAGCATCCTATCTGCCAATCGAGGACTAGTCCCTGCCAAAATTTACTAGCAGCAGTAAGAAGACAAAAATGGGGAAAGCGTTACTTCAAATCCAAGTATTCTAGTCGCGAAATCGAAGTTGCCGGTGTGCACAAATGGGTGATGTACGATGACGCGTTGGTGTTCCCTCCCGCTTGTCATGTCTTATACCAACGTCTTGTATGTCTTGTGATGCTCGCCTTTTGCAGGTCTTTCATTAATCCACTCTCTTCTCAAATCTCAAAGCACTTGCATGGTATGGTGTCGACCTGGTGGCAACTATCCCGGGTGGCATGAACTATTTTCGAAATCTAAAATTTCAAATATTTTGAAACAGAGGGATTACGTGTTTACACCTGACTGATGCCATCTAGCCAGAGTCCCAATATTCGGGTCCCAACTTAGCTGCACGGCGCGGCTGGGCAGGACCAAAATGCAATAGAGACGTCACAGTCCAATTAGAGCGAGTCAATTCTGCCAAGAGTTAGGTTGCTTGGTGAGACTGTTACATCGTGATACATCATGCCAACACACAGATATTGTTCCTATCACAAAGTTGGGTTCGACTTTTAAAGGGTTCTAATGAATACAACAGTTTTTCAGCTGAAGCTTCAACATAAAGCTCGGGCTGGTTCAGTTTTCAGCAACTAGAATCTAGATTTGTGTCCGATACAATGCCAGTGCAATGCAAGAATGCAAAATGTTCTGATCCGACAAAGTCAATGGGGTGTTGCAACTTCTCATAGCAGAAATGAGTGGGTGTATGTGTTTATTATCAGATCCTAGGAACCAGCTGTGGACTCATTTCCCGTATGGGTGGTATCTGCCCGAGCCTCGACCGCTCGCGCTCCCACCACCACCCATGCTCCCAGTTCCCCCATAGCCACCATACCCGCCTGCACCTGCACCATAGCCGCCAGGTGCACCATATGCGCCACCTCCATAGGCACCCCCATATGCCCCATAGGCACCATACGGGCCTCCATATATAGAACCACCATAAGCAGAGCCAAAACCTGACCCATAGGCAGGGTTACCTCCATATGCACCATACCCTCTACCGTAGGCACCATATCCTGCACTACCATAGTAGGCGGCTGCAGCTGATCGGTAGTCAGCTCCATACCCATAGCCACTGCTGCTGCTGATGGCGGAACGGCCTCCACCACCACCGCCACCTCCACCACGGTATGAGCTACGATTGCCACCTCCTCCATGGCTATGTCTACTGTAAGAGCTTGAATCACCACCACCAGGTTTCTTTGGCTCGGCTCTTTTTATTTCAACCTGCAAAACCCAAGTAGAGAAGTTATCAAAACAATTTATGTTAACCCTGATTCATGTGATGCTTAACACAACATTGACTAGGTGACTGCCAACCAAGTAAAGACTCTAAATGAGATCAAATCACACATGTTATTCCTAACTCCAAAATAAACAAAGGCAAGAGTCATGTGGAGAGAGGAGAGAATAGGGCCCAGTTCTTTTGAACAGATTGTGAAGAATCTTGTCCTGGAAAATCCTGAGCGAAAAGAACTCGATTTGCCTTCCAAAATCTCGAGCGGATTCTGCAGAACCCTAGTGCAATTCAAAATCCTCGAAAAACATAGATTTTCGCAGAATCCCAGGATTCTGGTAAGTCCCAGCAAAGAAAACGTTTCGGATATGAGAGTACCCCTATTGGAGGGATAATTTACAGCCAAACTGCCCCTTTCGCACGACCGAACGGCCCAGCAAACGCTCGATCTCCACGAGCGCTAGCCGCCGCTCCGCCCGCCGCCGCCGGACGGGAGCTCCACCAGCCCGCCACCGGCCACCCCCTGGCCGCCCAGCCTACACGCCGGTTCTCGCCTCGGGGCGGCCCCTCTCCTCACGACGGCCCGCCTCGCCACCGCCGGACGGGAACTCCACCAGCGCCCCTCCTCACGACGCCGCCAGACGGGAGCTCCGTCAGCGTCGCTCCTCGTGACCCCACTGGACGGGCAGCCCGCCGCCTCTGGCCGCCGTGCCTAGACGCCCGACGGGAACTCTTCTTCCCTGTCTCGTCTCTCTTCTACCTCTGTATTCTTCCCTGTTTCTCTGTCAACATCTAGGTGAATAGATGGATGGATAGATGCATGTATTGATGAATAAATGGTACTGCTAATGCATTGATGTATGTTTAAATTTGTATCTTTCGCTTGACAATTTCAATTTGGTAATTGCCAATTTGGTACTGCTACTTGGTGCTTGGTAATTTTGGTATGTGCTGATGAATTAGATGCGCTGATGGCTGTATGTTTTAGATGGAGAAAGTCAGTGCAGCTAGAGCTAAAGTGTTAACAATTCATCAAACATTTTCTGTCTAAGGGCAGTACAGACATTTCGCCACATAACAGAATCCACAATCTCAAACTACAATCTCAGAAAAGAACTCGGCGGCAGATTCTGTGGGAAGCAGATTCTGTGAGAAATTTCTAGAATCTTGATTCTGCAGAATCCACCGCGAAAAGAACTGGGCCTAGAACTGAGACTCTCGGTTAAAGCCAGATTTTCCACAAATAGATCTCATTGCATTTGAGGCTGACTCTTCGTGTAGAACCTTAAGACACCACTTCATACGAATTATTTTATTGTCGACTCTAGATGACATAGAGAAGTCAAAGAGTCAACACTCAACAACTGCATCTACCTTCATATATACCCTAAGTGGGTTTCCTAAAGTAGAAGTGACACATATTCAGGAGAAATTGGATATCTGAAAGTGATTTCCAGTGAATTTAATTCAGCCAAGAAAGAATAGACTTCCATCCAAAATCACATGCAACAGAATATGTAGAACAGTCAGCCTACAGCAGTATGATTTTGAAATTTTTATTTCTAGAATAGGTTGAACAGCAAGTCTGGACACTTGGACAGGGTAACAAAAGCACCGTACAAGTAACATTCTCTTGAAAATGCAGATGAAAACCATACAGAGATTTACAAAGAAATATTCAATAGTTTCTTCCATGCTAAAAACAAAGTGCTACCTCAGTACAGACTAGAGTTGACATGAATAATGCATTCTGAGTAAGAGTAACTTTGGTTTTGATGTGGATATTCAAAACTGAGCCTGGCCTCAAATGCTCGCAGATGAACAGATAAATACAAAAAAAGAACTGCAAAAATAAATTATAAACATGTTCCTGTTTTCTACCCGCATGCAAAGTTTCATGAAGAAATGACATATGTTGTCTGGTGAGAAGAACAAAATATGTGCTGTAAAAAGGCCATTTTTAAAGCTGTTCAGAGCACAGTTTTTTTTTCCAGATCACAACACGTCACTTCGCAATAAATTGCATGCACTCAAAAGGCACTGACATGTTTGCCGTAAAAAAGATCAGATTCTTCTAAAACTTCAAGCATTTTTTTCCGATTTAGCATGTGCTCCCAGGAGCCAACATGCCGCCCTCTCCATTAAACACCTCTTAAATGCTATGGCCTTTGTTCATTAATATAAGGTGTTTTGGCAGTTCATATTAAACCGCCAAAACATCTTATATTAATTAACAGAGGGTGTACTAAGCTATGAGTTACAAAACTGTGCAGTTTGACAGTACATGTTCAACTATCTCGATACTAAAATAACACAGGACGGAACGATGATTGACATGGTTGAAAATTCGACAGCAACATTAACAGTAGTCGCTAGCGCTAATGAATCTAATAACTGGAGCAAGAGAAAAATATTAATTTTCATAGATAACAAGAGAAAGCTGGTGACCTGCTTCCCTCCAAGATCATGCATTCTCCCATCTGACATAACCCTTTCAACAGCGTCCTCACTTTCGAAGGTAACAAAGCCAAAGCCTCGTGAACGGCCAGTGCTATGGTCAACCATGATTTGATGCTCAGCCACCTTCCCATATGAGGAGAAGTGTTCCTTTAACTTGTCTGAAAAAATTCGAGTCAGACATGTTTCACATGAAACAAATATGTTCAAAACTTAGTGTATATTAACGTTGGGACTTGGGAGTATTCAAGTGGTTACGACTTAATACTTGTGACCAAGTTCAAAAAAATTGCTCGCACACAGTAAACACTTTTTGCTTTTACATGTACCTTCAGTTAGTGATGCTGGAATGCCACCAACAAAGATCTTTCTTGTCTTATTAGGAGCATCTTTTGTTGACATCTCCTCTCTAGGCACAGTTCTTTTGACTTCAACCTTAATAGATAAAAAAATGTATAACAGACCCACTCAGATTTGCATGTTTTGGTTGTTAATGCTACAACATAGAAGAGCCTTTTCACCTATCTGTCAACAAAGGAGGCCTTACCGTTCTTCCATCTATAGTATGTTCATCCTCCAGAACCCTGTCAATCACAGATGGATCAGAAAATGTAACAAATCCAAATCCACGAGGCATCCCGGTATGCTTGTCTTTCATGATCACAGAATCAGTTATAGCTCCATATTTCTGAAAATGCTTGGTGAATTTTTCTGCACACAAAAAAATGAGTCATAAGTTACAGCTCCATATTTCTGAAAATGCTTGGTGGATGTTCTGCAGACAATCAAATACGGAGTGAGAATGCCAAACTAAGCAATGGATAATAAATAATCATAACTCGTGTAACGACAATATTGATGGAAACAATTGACACTATTAATATTTTCTCCAATGATTTCATAAATTTTAGTGAATTCAAATGTCCAGATTCTGCTCCTCTTTTTTTGTGTTTAACTAGTACTCCCTCCGTCCGAAAAAGCTTGTCCCGAAAAAGTTAGTGCTAGATACATCTATTTGAAAGACAAGCTTTTTCGGACGGAGGGAGTAACTAACTGTAAGCTCCAATGGTCAAAAGTTGTAACAGCAGTTTTCTCCTATAAAACTGGTAAGCTCCACCATTCAAAAGTTAACAAACACAGGAGTTTAATCACAGACGGCTAGAGAACAGAAGCAGAGTATCATTAATGAACAAGTAGCACCCCTTATCAGACTGCAAACTGATCACTGTGACATCAAAACTATAATACTCCTATGACCAAGCTCCTCTGCCAAAGTAAATAAATTAAACAGCAGTACAGCACTGAATGAGATATGTGAGAAACATTTGTTAGATTCAAATAACCACATAGTATGAACCGGCACAACCACTGAAAATCTGAAAGTGAGATACATGAGAATAATTTGTTGGACTCAAACAACAGCAAGGTATGAATAAACCAGGCTAACCTTACAACATGACCGCAGACAGAACATTATCATGGAAACATACACTACGGAATTTTCTGCATAATTGTAGTTTGGAAGTAAGTTCCCTTTCCCCTATCCCCAACTTTCGGACCTTTACCCTACCCAAGTCAACTCGTTATGGATCACAATTTCCTAATTTAACGTGACAAAAGAATTTCAGCTTCCTAAACAGCAGTCAGCACACATAGCAGTCCAAACACAACCCAATTACAATTAGTCGATTATCAATACCATCATTCATAGCCGTTAAAATTCTGAGAATTTAATACATCATTCATAAAAGAGGCATCTAACATGAAACAAAATCTCAAATCCACACTCAATCCATACATATAGAGAAACTAAAAGGACAAACTTGGCTATAAGTAGTAGCTAAAACTGTTCATTTGCTCCCTCTGTTCCTCAATACTTCCTATTTATTTTTAAAATTACCCGGCATATTGTGTTTGTCTCCCAATTGGTTACCTATTTCACCCCTTCCCATTAGCAACCGGAAGTCAATTACACTGCATGCATGCATGGGGGAACATGAGGGATAGGAGTGAAGCGACATGTGAGGGGAAAGAGGCCAGTGCCAGTTATGGCCAAAGGCTGCTGAGAAAGAGAGAGAGGTTACTCCGAGTTTTGAGGGTATAATCACCCATTCAGCACAATTTTATGATTTTATCCACACTTTGCCCTGATCGTTATGCGTCCTGGAGCTAAAACACTAAAACGCTGGGCAATATGGAGTGGAGGGAGTACTATTTAGAGCCAAATTTATTGTTTTCGTTTCTTTATATGTGCATAAAATTTGGACCTGAAATGTACTCCCTCCACTCCATGTAACAAAAAGTTTGTGTGAACATTGTAACACAAAGTTCAGAATTTCAACACTTTTTGGATATCTAAGCAAACTGATCTCAGTATCTCACAACTCCCACACAAGTTTCCCTCAGATTAATTAATTTCTTGATGATGGCACCATTCATGAAAATACATGTTCCATCTAAGCAAGCTAGCCAGGCATGCAGGAATGGAGAATTTAATCGTTAATAACAGACACCAAAATGGCTCTAGATAGAATAAGGAGAAATGTGTAGCCATATATTCTTGCTCTGTGTCCCCTTTTTCTTGACTAATGTGCGAACTAAAGGATCACTGGGAGTAGGTTGGCCCACAGATCACTAAATTCTAATTCTGGTTCTTGCCCAGTGAAAATATACGGCTGAAAACAATGTATAAGCTTCTTACAGCAGAAGAAATAAGCAATTCAGAACTACACTGTATTCCATGTGATGAGGTGGATCAGACAATCTAAGCCTAGCTATGAAATGACGTTGAGATGCACTTCTCTTGTAAATGTAAAACGAGTTAGTTTTATGTTGATCTAATGCACCTAACTACTATTTTGTTCTCAACTCTTTTCAAATGTTTGTAATCAATCACCCACAGCTGGAGCATTTTGTATGACAAGTCTAAAAACTAAAATCGTCCCATCCTTGGCAAAATACCCTAGCATGTTTGGTTGGGGGTAGTTAGAGCTAGGGAATGGGAATTGAAGGGGTACGAGACTTCAAATCTATTGTTTGGTTAGGGGGATTGGGAATTGATAAGGGAATAGTCATGGGACTTGAGACTCCAACTCCCACCGTTTTATTAACAGGGGAGGGGGTGGGAGTTGGAAGGGAATTGTTTTAGTGAGTCAATCTTAGCCCTTCATCATAACTTACGTTAATTTCCCTTGTCTATTTCCTTGTCAATTCCCACGAACCAAACACGGGAATACAATTTCTCATCAAACTCTCACACATAATTTTCATCATGCGCCAAACAGATGATTGGGAATAAAACGACTCATCCCATGTCTAATCTCAATACAACTCCCTACATTAAACTCCCATTCCCCTTCCCATTTTTTGCCAAACACGCTGTACAGGAATTACTTATCTACCTTCGGTTGTCTCCCAGGCTACACCCCCAACGAAAATTTTCCTGTAGAGAAGCACAGACCAAACCAAACGAGTTAACCAAACCTCATCTAGTCCAACGGACCAAACCAAAACCTAAAAGCGCAACCAACTCACCCGGACCCGTCGGCGGGCTCGGCAGGCACGTCCCTACCACCTTGCACGCCGCCAGCGTCTCCGCTACCAACGGCATCCCCTCCACCTCCTCCATCTCGAGATCCCTCGGCGGCGGGCCTCTCCTCCGCCTCCTCTTCCTCCTCCTCCTCTACCTCCTCTTCGACCTCCTCCTCCACCTCCTCGTCCTCCTCGTAGCCGTTCATGGCGTTCAGGTTCTCCTCCTCGTACCCCGCCATACCGCCGCCCGAGACCACCACCACCCCGGCGCCCGAACGGGGCTCGGAGAACCGCAGAACCCTAGCCCCGGATCGAAGCGGGCGGCGAGGGGCAGCGGCTAAATTGCCTGCTAGGAGTCGGCGATGGCGGTGGGGGAGTGGTAGGGTTTAGGGGTTCGTGGCCGGAGCTAACCCTAGCTGCGCCGCTTCGAGAGCTCGAGTGAGGTTGGTGGGAGAGAAGAAGGGGGCGGTGGACGGTCGGGGTGGCGGCGGAGCAGTCGGGAGGGGATTTTAGCCCGGTGCCGTGGGTGCCCGAACTGGCTGGGACCGTCGGATGGCGCATCACGATTCGTGCCGTCGCTAGGAAAGTGCCGGGCTATGCTCTCGCTTTTTCCGTGGCTTTCCTAAATGGCACCGTATTCGATTCCATTTGATTCTGGCAAGAAGTTTGTATCTGTGTGTGTCGGACTGTGAAACTCTGCACTTCAAGTTAAGAAGAAATGGACACTTGGCATGAAGAACTGATGAATCATTACAAGAAATGGATGGACGCTCTGGATTCGTTCGAGTAATGGGCGATCAAGGCGTGAGATGAACCAAGCGCACTTCTCAGTTCCTCCTCACGTCGTTGCCATCAACTCGGCTTGTGCTACAGTGTACTTGCTCGTCACCCTATTGCTTGTGTGTCATGATCACCCTCTATCTCCCCTAGCTATAAACCCCTCCACAATCGGTGGATCGGTATCTTACCTCTTCTCCATGTTGTAATAGCTAGCTCTAGTGTAGAATCCTAGAACTACTTGGTAGAATTGGTTGATCGTCGGTTTGTATCCAAACTTAAACGAGTATCCGTGAGTAAATCGAGTTAGTTCATGTGTATTTCATGTCGATCATATCATGATCATATCAGTTGGTATCAATAGCCAGTCAATTCCTTGAGGGTGCAATGATCGGGGCAGTGGCTGTTGGGTTTCGTCTTGGTAAAATCCCACTCGTTGTTTTCGATTAGGGTGGTCATTTTTTGGCGGTGGAAAGGTGGGTCACTGACAAGGGTTTCTAGTACTTCCCGTGGTAAAATTCCAGAGTTGTGTTCGACCCGGTCATGGGCACTTGCACGAAACACAATGAGATCACCGAAGAGTCGGGATGCTCCGCGTGATGAGGTGACAGTGATGGGGCTCAAGCAAGACAAGATCCATGAACAGACTGACGAAATCAACACGTGTTTGGTCAAGGTGGAGTCACTGGAGAAGCAGATCGACAAGGCAGAATTACTGGTAGAGACAAACTCAGAGGTGTAGGCCGAGATCTTCTCAATTCTCAATAAAGTGCAAGGTGAAACTGCCCACCCTCCAATCCCTCGATGTCCAACTTCTACCTCTGTAACTATTGAGAAGGAACCACCACAAGTGCAAGTGTAGACTGCAATCGGAAAGAAAATTGAAAATCAAGGTGAATCTCTAGCACAATTACAATTGAGGGAGTTACAGTTACACAGTTTAGTCTCGAAAACACATTAACAGTAAAATTTGATATAAATATGAATGTGTTGCTCAATTTATGAAAAGCATTTCCAAAGTTCATAAAATGGTTTTCCCCTGTTTCAATGGTGACAAGCTTTTGAGTTGGATCAGACAAGTTGTTAAGGCATGTTTCTCTCTAAATAGTTTTGGTGATTGATGACAACATATTTGCGGACTAATCATGTGCGTTGAGTATTTCAGAGTTTCATCCTTTGGCGAGACGATTCCCTTCCCTTAGAGTTTGAAGCGAAGACGGTGTAGCCCTTTCGATTCAGTTTTGGTGGTCTTGTGTCGTAAGAGTCATCGTACTATCAAGAGGGGATCCGCATTGGTTAGGCTAGGATGGAATCAACACGTACACAACCCCTTTGCACCCTCTGAGCTTTTCCCTTCGTTGAAGGCTCCCTTGCAATCTTCTCCCTGAGATCTGGTCCCAGCGGTAGTACTGCGAACCCCAGCGGTAGTACCGCTTGAAGCTCTCAGCCGTAGTACCGCTGCGGCTCCGAGCTCCTACCGCCTCGATTCGAGGGTTCTCCTCCCGTGTCAGGTTCTGCGGCACTTGCTGCGGCAGTAGTGGCGGTAGTGCCGCCCTTATCACCACGGTAGTACCGCCCTGGGTCCAGGTCATGCTTTGCTTCTCGCTCTCTTCTCACTGCGCGGCAGTACCGCGAGGTGGAACGATAGTACCGATGGCCGCAGCGGTAGTACCGCCCTGTGCGGGGCTGAGCGGGGGTAACGGTTGGATTGTCTCCCCTCTTATAATAGGAGGTCTTCTTCTCCAAGTTGACTTACCTCGTTTCCCCCAAGCTCCATTGTTACTCCAAAGCTCATTTTCGCCCGATCTCTCTCCCTAGCCAATCAAACTTGTTGATTGTCTAGGGATTGGTTGAGAAGGCCCAGATCTACACTTGCACCAAGAGAAATTTGATCCCCCCACTCATCCCTTGCGGATCTTGTTACTCTTGAATGTTTGAGCACCCTAGACGATTGAGGTCACCTCGGAGCCATATTCCATTATGGTGAAACTCCATGGTTTTGTTGGGAGCCTCCAATTCGGTTGTGGAGAGAGCCCCAACCTTGTTTGTAAAGGTCCGGTCGCCGTCTCCAAGGGCACCAATAGTGGAATCACGGCATCTCATATTGTGTGAGGGTGTGAGGAGAATACGGTGGTCCTAGTGGCTTCTTGGGGAGCATTGTGCATCCACACCGCTCCAACGGAGACGTACTTCCCTTCAAAAGGAAGGAACTTCGGTAACACATCCTCGTCTTCACCGGCTCCACTCTTGGTTATCTCGTGCCTTTACTTGTGCAAGCTTTTATGTTGTTTCCCTTGCTTTCTTGTGTACTTATTGTTGTTGTATCATATAGGTTGCTCACCTAGTTGCATATCTAGACAACCTACTTTGATGCAAAGTTTAAATTGGTAAAGAAAAGCTAAAATTGTTAGTTGCCTATTCACCCCCCTCTAGTCAACTATATCGATCCTTTCAATTGGTATCAGAGCCTCGTCTCTTTACTAAGGACTTTGTCATCCGAAGAGTATGGTTGACACCGTAGATGGTGTGGAGGAGCACTCCGGTGTGAATCTGATCTCGTCTATGGCCGATGGGGGAACCACGGTCTCTCGTGAGGAATTCAATGTGGCTTTGGACACATTGAAAAGCTCCATGACGACCGAGGTTGAAAGCATGTTTAATAAATTCCTAGAAGGGTTTAAACTATCCAGCACACCGTTGAGAGTGGGTGATCCCACTAACAAGGTGACGGATGCTAACTCCGACAAGGGGGAAGCTACTAGTGATCAAGTTCCTTCTTCTAGTGGTAAAAATGGCACCGGCATCTTTGCCCATGTGGAACCTCCACTTGTTTATGGTGGACCGATTACTTCCACTCATTTGAATCATGCCGGTCCTCCCCCTAAGATTGTGAAAAATGAGGACTTTGATTCTTGGGTCTATCGCTTTAAGCGTCATTTCAATCATGTGAATACTAATCTTTGGAGAATCAATGAAGAAGGTTTCTATCTGCATGACCGAAGTAACTTCACTCCTAGAGAAGCCGCGGATAATCAATTCAACGAGAATGCTCTCTTCATCATCCAAGATGCAATTCCACCCGAAGATCTTCCTCATCTCTGGCCCTTCGCCATGGCCAAAGATGCAGGGCATCAAGTTGTTTCCCTCTACAAGGGAAGCGCAAGCATTCAATGCTCCAACTATGAAGTGGTGCAAGATGAAGCCGATGAGTTTGCAATGAAAGAAGATGAAGAACCTTGTGAGCTTTATCGGAGAGTAACCAAACTCGCGGTCTCACTCCGAGATCATGGGAGCAAGGACACGGATGACAATTGGATCAAGCGCAAATTCCTCAAGGCAATGATGCCTTACCACAAGACCATGTCCTCAATCATTCGTCAAAGGCCGGACTTCCACACCTTGTCCTCAAGTGAAGTGTTGGATGAGTTTGTGGCCATGAGCATCTTGGATAAGACCGCCGACAATGCGGTGTTACGTTCTGAAAGAGCAAAGAAGCCCAACCTTGCATTAAAGGCCAAGGTTAGTGTGGAAGAAGAGGACAAAGAAGAAGAAGAGGAGAGCAACCCCGAAGATACAAAGTATGCCTATCATGAACACATGGCTCTTGCTTCAATGCAATTTTGGAGCAAGAAAAACTCAAGGCCCAACTTCAACAAGAACAACTCAAGTGGCACGAAGGGCAAGCAACATGTGAGGACTTGCTATAATTGTAGCAATGTGATCCATTTTGTTGCGGAGTGCCCGTATGAGAAGAGGGAAGACAATGGTGGCAAGCTCATCCGAAAGGACAAAGCCAAGTCTTTCCCCAACAAGAGCAACTTCACCAAGAAGACTCCTCCCAAGGCGTTGGTGGTACAAGAAGAGTACAATGAAGATGATGAGGAGGAGGAGGATGGTGAGTCGGTTTCCATGGCCTCCGTTGCCATTGCGACAACTCCACGAGTGTCGCTCTTTGACTCACCCAATGAGAGCATCACCGCCAAGTGCCTCATGGATAAAGCCACCAACAAGGTAACCCCCAACATCAAAACTACCATCATTAATAATCCTCCGTTGACAGATTGCATTGATGAACATGATGGATCTAATTTGGAGGAGAATGAGTTTGAGTCCTTTATGGGTAAACTCAAGGGTAAATCCAAGAAGCACTTTGTTGCTCTCTTGGAACAACTTGGTGAAGCCAATGACATGATCGAGGCTCACGAAGATACCATCTCTAAGATGGAAGGGGCATAGTCATGACTATGCCGATGAGATTTTGGATCTTTCCAATGATCTTGAGAAAGAGTGTGGTCTTCGTTTGGCTCTTGAGGAGTCACACAACGATGATCACGCCAAGTTAAAGAAAGATCTTGATCATGCTATTGTTGTTTCTCGTGTGCTAAACTCTGAGAAGGCTAAGCTTGGGGTTGATCTTGCTAGACTCAAAGAGGAGTTTGACCTACTTGACAAGTCTCACAAG